CCGATCTGCCGACAAACAGCTGATCGGCAGATCGGGGCAGCCATTTAAATTTAAATGAAGCCGCGATTATTTTAATCGCGGCTTCATTTCCCTCCTCCGATCTCGCTAATCTACATGCCTCCGTCGAAGGAGGCATGTAGTCTAGACACACCCTAAGTGGAGAGCTTGTGCTCCCTGCTGTGTGTGGGGGGCTGAGCTCCCTCCCCCTTCGCACCCCACTGGGGGAGTGACATTGCACTGTCCAGAGGCTTTCCCTTCTGCAAGGGGGCATGAAGCCAGGTAAGCATCCTCCCTAATACCCAGACCTCCACACCCCAATCCCCATCACTCACTCTCCTTCCCCCACCAAGACCCCACTCCTCCAGCTTTCTCCAACCCCCTCCATTGTTCCTGCATCCTCCCTCCTGGCCAGAAACTCTACCCCCAGCCTGCTGCCACACATTGCCTCCCACCCAGATCTTACAACCTCTCCCCCTTTTGAACCCCATCTTTTGCCCAGATCCTGCATCCTATCCTTATCCCACACACTTGCAGCCCTTTCCCACACACTGAACCTCTCATTTTTGTCCTCACCCCAGAGCCTAAGGGGGTCCATAAAAACCATTAACTCCGGAACCCCAGAGAAGTAAATCTGGCCTATGGGAAGCCCTGAACCTCAGTCTTCCCTGTCTCTTCATCTCACTTCATGGGGCTGGAGTGCCAGAGGGGTGAGATGTCCCTGTTGGGGGCCACATCCTTGAGTGTAGCGTGTTTGGGGAGGTTTTTTGCTTCTCACTGGTGTGGTCCCCAACTGATTTTTCTGTAAGTCAGTGGCTCTCAACCCAAAAAAGGCTCCCCACCCTGCCATAAATAAAGACAACATTGAAACCTTTTGTGTTGGACATAAATTAATAGTTTACTTTATTTAAAATGAAGTTTGATAAACTAACATGAGAAAGTTAAAAGCTTAATCTGTTTAATAATTTAAAGTAAACCATTCTCTCTAGCTGCAACACTAGCAAAAACTCAGGCATAATTATATAATTAATGGTGAGTTTCCATTAGAAACTTGTGGTCTGTGGAAATATTTATATTAAGCCAGATGGTTCATGGACCAAAAAGTTTGAAAACCATTGAAGTAGAGGTATCCCCGGCATTTTCTGCTGAGTTTATGCAATGCAGGTTGGGTTAATTGCAGCCCAATTGCATGGAGGGGTGTCCTATGAGGCCCAACCCCATCCCTATTGGCAGGGCTCAACAATTACGGCAATCTACTCACCCGTGACAAGTAGATTTTAGCCTGGCACGGTGCTGCAGCACAATCAGCACATGCACAGATCAGTCTGCACATGCGTAGTGTGCCAAACCGCACGGCTGGTGAGCGGGGCTCTCTGCCACTTGTCAAGCCCTGTCTATTGCTATAGAGGCTGGTGGGAGGAGTTCTTAGAGGGGCCACATGATACCCTTTACTTCTGGTCATGTGTCCATCTTGACCCCGGAAGTACTACGTCTGGGATGGACCTTCTTATGGCTAATGGAACTCAGTGGGCATGGCTAATGGGGATCAGGGGATGTGGCTAATGGGGATCAGGGGGCATGGCTAATGTGTCCCTAATTTTGGTTCAGAAAATATGGTCACCATACCTATAGATACTGATTAGCATCAGTTCTTTAAGCACTGGGCCACTAAAAGTGGGACTGAACACTCCCTTTTCCAAGACTTACGATTCCTGTCTTAGTAGCAACTGGCTCAGGTGATGGCCCAGTGGCAATCCCTTGGGGAAAAGGTGAGGGGAAACAGATGCCCCAGTAGGTCCTCCAAGAACTCTTACCTGGGTTTTTAGAACCCAAAACATGAGTCTGCTATGATTTTGAGTGATCATCAGCTCAGCTTCCAGGGGCTCTCTTTCTGCCCAGTTAATAAGTAATGTGGCTGCCAGCTCCTTAACTAAAAGTAAGCTCCCTAGAATTGCTGCAAGGTAAACCAAGTTTACTGGAGCTGTCAACAAAGGCTTTTCTTGTCGACCACACCGCGTCTAGACTGGCGCTTATTGCCGGATCAGCTGATCGTTGGAACAGCATGGCGGCCATTTTTATTTTAATGAAGCAGGGATTATTTAAATCCCCGCTTCATTGACTATTCCGGGTAAACTAGTTTACATGGCTCCGTCGACAGAGCCATGTAGTCTAGATGTACCCATACTGATGACAAAGCTTCTGTTGACAAAGAACGTTTAGATTACATCCAGTTCTGAGATGCTTTGTCGACATGACAGTGTAGCATGTAGATGGAATAATGCCTTCTGTCGACAGAACTCTGTCGACAAAAGGCGTTATTCCTCATAGAATGAGGTTTACAGCCATCAACAAAACTGCTGAGTTCTGTTGATATTATGTCGACAGAACTCAGTGGCAGTGTAGACACAGGTATAGTTTTGTCGACAAAAGTCCACTTTTGTTGACAAATCCTGTAGTCTAGGCACACCCTCTGTCACATAATATACATCTTTAGTATCAAGTGTGGGTGTTGCAATAGCTTAACATGATGGAAGAAGTCTTTGACTAGTTTTGGAATTTATTTTGCATTGTCAAGTGGTGGGATCTAGCATACTTACTGACATTAAATCACCTTTGATAAAGATCTGCACGTGCTGGGTATAATCAATAAGAAACAAACTCTTGGTACAGAACCCTTGCATAGAATTTTATATATAGAATTTTTAAAATGGCTGTTTTGCAGACAACTACAGTGTTTTAGAGAACACAGATGTATCCCTGGTATTAGGACAGTGTTCAGGCAATGCTAACTTCTTTTTAGTTTTAACCTGACTAATGAATTGTTTAAAAACTTCTTCATTACATTCTCCGTGTTATGGTTCTCTAGCAGGGCAATGTAAAGCAACAGAACTTCTTTTACAGCAGTAATCTTTAATTAATAACTATTGATTAATGGGCATTTAATAATAGCTAACTAATTTAAAGAAGATTCTACATTAATAATGGTATATTCAGTAAGGCTTGTAATTGTTATGGGGAATTTAGAACATCAAGGGTTGAAAATTGGTAGTGCTTTCCTTCTAAGAACACTTTGGGAGTTTAGAAAAGTCAGTAGTGTAGTTTGTGTGTCTTGTATACTGTATTGCTATCTAAAGGAAATGGAAATCAAAAGTGCTCAGTACACTGAGTAATGATTACCATGTTTAATATTTTTTTCTATTCATTAAACCAAGTACAAATATTAAATTGAGATTATAGGGGGAGTTTGTACAGACCCCAATAGTTTTGAACCATTAGAATGAATGTGTACAACTTTTTCTTTAAGATGCTTTCACTGTTGATTATAGCAAGCCTTCGGTATTTGGCAACAGGAGATTCTTGTGCTTTGTCTTTGTATCATTAAAGTCTGTTAAGCTTTCACTGAGATATAAACTGTTAAACACTGCCACTTTCCCTTCTCTTGTTTTTTCATTCCTCAGGAAAATATGCCAACATGTCAAAATAATAATGTAGCACATGAAAACTCTGTCTTGGCTCACGTTGCAGCCAAAGTATCGGCCTTGCAAACTACAGAAAACACCTAGGACCAGCAGAGCTGCTGAGGCAATGGGAAAAGACTCAGCACCTGGGCCCCAATGGTCCATTTCTTTTCATCATGTTGTACTACATGGTGCTTGAGCACCAATAACTCAATAAACAGCTAGTCCCACCGTCAAATACTTCTAACCCCATCTAAGCAACCTCTGGAATACTATCTTCAGCTGCTGCTAACCTGCAGCTTCATTGGTGATAGTCTGTGATGTAATGTTGAAGATTCAGATTCAGACCTTGCTTTCTTAGTATGTATTGATTCAAGTAATTAAAGATAGTATAATGTATATGCACAAGGGAGCAGAATTAATATTGCACACAGAACCATAAATCTGGCATTTCTAATTTTCAATTGTCTTACTTTAAAACCTAAACAATGTCACTATTGTATTTATTTCATAATACGCTAGAGATTAATTTTCATGGTTGGTATATTCCAGCTGAGTAACTCTATCCATAACAATGTACATGTGGAAAGTACCCTTGGATTATATCTATTTTTAATGGCTGATAATTAATGGTACACACTATCCTTATCCCTAAGTCACGGGACAGAATTACTAATTAAAACGATATCGAAGAGCTATTATTTTTAACTTTATTTCCTCATAATAATAATAATGGTGTCTCTTCCTCTGTATCTTGTGGTTGTGAGTTCCATAGATAAATTATGTTGCATGCTTTTTAAAATCCTACTACTAGTAATTAATTGCTTTTTTAATTTCCTTGTATTTTGTCTTGTTTCTGTATTGGGAGAGGGTAAATATTAGTGGTATGTCTACCTGCTATGTCATTTTCTATGTTCACTGCTCAAGTTATGTAAATGGCCCTTAAAGTATAAATACAATTTATGACCACTTTATGGTCCATTTACACTTTGGCATTTATATTGTCAGGACCCTTGTGTTGCAAATGGCTGCAGGTGAGAACTCCATTTGTTTTCATGCTCTGAAATATAAAAGTGTTGCTATTTGTGACAGGAATGTTTTGGGATGCAATATTGATATCATTATGAGGTTTTATTAAATTGAAATGTAATAAAAGGGGAAAGCAAGATTATACAATTATTTGGGCTATTAGACTCTGTTGTAGTTAGAGGCCTGTTTTATTAGTGTAATGCCTCATGCAAACAGTTATCCAAAGGCTGAGTTTATGGCTAAAAATGTGCAGGTCCAAAATGTTAATCCTAGGTCATGAATTCTACATTCACAGTGTGAGAGATAAATTAGTGACCACAAGCATGGGATTTCACAGAAGCATTACAGAAGTAATTCTGAAATAAGAAGAAATGGGGGTAGGGCCCTTTAGCAACATGGTAGTTATGCAGGAAGTAGGGAGTTAGACTACATTAATATATAGGCATTGCTAAGAAAGGATTGACACAAATCATTAATATTAATGATTGGAAGTATCATTATGGAATGCCACATATGGATAATGAGCAGGCATTATTATGGTCACAGAAAATAATCAAATACTGTTGTTTACCCAATAGGTTACATAAAGAAGGGGTACAAAATAGTCAGTCAAGTGTTGCAGTTGTTAGATACCTGAGACTCCTGAATTGGTGTCAGCTGATTGGTGGCCTTCTGCAATGATCCACTATCAGTGTGTTCTACTCTTTATTTCTTGTAATTGTTGTTAGTATGTTATCATACCTTGAAAGTATTTGTTATATATGAGGCTTTATGCTGTTCGATCATATTAACGGGTAGAATTAAATTATTTTTATTTACAGGTATAATTCAATACATATTGCTTACACAAAAATAAATGTTTGTAAGAGAAACTTCTGGAAAGAAGCTGTGTTAATTAATAAAGAGCATGTATGAGTTATTATTAATAAATTTTAGTGTGGAAAGTTTATAGTTTCATTATTTGGTCAGGCTACAGATGTGAAGTGTGCTAGGGATGCAGTAATAATTGATAATGTGCTACTTCAGAGGCCAAGAATATTGATTTTAAAATAGACGTTTAAAATTAAATATATTAAAATATCGCGACACTGTAAATCTGTTCTGTTTTAGCTTGAATAGTAGAAATGCATTTATGGTCAAACCTACTCTTTTTTGACAATGTATTAAAATCTATGATTCATTAGTATTGTGGGCTGCAAAATGAAGGGTACATGATCCCAAATAATAAAAATGTATTGCAATTCTTTTCTTTTCTTTTCTTTTCTTTTCTTTTCTTTTCTTTAGGTTGAACTTTAGGAAAAACTTCCTAACTGTGAGGGTGGTTAAAAACTGGAATAAGTTGCCAAGGGAACTTGTGGAATCATCGTTGCTGGAGATATTTAAGAGCAGGTTTGATAGATATCTATCAGGGATGGTCTAGGGTCGTGCCATGAGGGCAGGGGACTGGATTCGATGACCTGAGGCTGAACAAAGTCATGTAGTTTGGATGTAACTGGCTATAAGAAGAAAGTAAAGGAGGTCTAGTGACAGAGCCATAAGGAAGCTTCTCCATCTGATCCTCAGAGGAAATAATCTGAAAAGACATTAAATTGTAAACATCACACTTGTTGCTAAACTATAGCAAAATGCAGGACAATGTAGCACTTTAAAGACTAACAAGATGGTTTATTAGATGATGAGCTTTCGTGGGCCAGACCCACTTCCTCAGATCAAATAGTGGAAGAAAATAGTCACAACCATATATACCAAAGGATACAATTAAAAAAAATGAACAAATAAAAAAAGGAAAAATCTCTTTCAAAAACGGGGGGGGGATGCGGGGGGGGGGGAAGGAAGGAAGGTAAGTGTCTGTGAATTGATGATATTAGAGGTGGGGAGAGTGGGATGTTTGTGAGTTAATGGGTCTGGCCCATGAAAGCTCATCATCTAATAAACCATCTTGTTAGTCTTTAAAGTGCTACTTTGTCCTGCATTTTGCTTCAGCTACCCAAGACTAACACGGTTACATTTCTATCACTGTTGCTAAACTATGACACTCTGCAAAGATCAAACTTCATCTAAAATTGTTATATATCCTTTATTATATTTTCTGTCGTCTATTGTTAAAGATGGGATTATCTTAGGGTATGTCTACACTACAAAGTTAATTCGAACTAACAGCCGTTAGTACAAAATAACTTTCATAGGCACTACACATGCAAACCGCTAGTTCGAACTTAATTCGAACTAGCGGAGCACTGAATTCGAACTTGGTAAACCTCATTCTACGAGGACTAACGCCTAGTTCAAATTAAGTAGTTCGAATTAAGGGCTGTGTAGCCACTTAATTCGAACTAGTGGGAGGCTAGCCCTCCCCAGCTTGCCCTGGTGGCCACTCTGGGCACCACCAAGGAAACTTGTCTGCCTTCCTTCCAGCCCCGGAGCCCTTAAAGGGGCACGGTCTGGCTACGGTGCCCGTGCCAGGTGCAAGCCTGCCAGGACCCAGCCAACAGACCCTGCACCTGGCACGGCATGAGCCAGCCACCCTCTGCCACCTAGCCCTCTGCCTCTTCCCAGGACCAGGCTGGGGGCCCCCAGGAGCCTGCCCAGAGCCACAAGAGGCGGGTGCCCGCCTGGTCTAGGGCGGAGATTATGGAC